GGGGGAAGCGTCACTCAAGAAACCTCCAGCAAACTTAAAATCAAAAGTTTAGGAGTATTTCGGCTTCCGAGAAAATACAAAGGATACGGCAACATGCACAACATGCAATGCTGATATTTCCTACAAGACAGGATCGACTACAAATCTATTCACTCATTTAAAGCGGAAACATTATCTTGATGTCAACGAGTCACGAGCGAGTGCAACGAAACCGCGAATGGATGATTCCAAGAGATGTTCCGGTGGTCAACAAACATTATAGCAAGTCCTTTCAAATTCAAAGTTGGGAGATGACCGTAAGTCCCTAATTACTAAGGCAATTGGGGCATATTTAGCTCACGACATGCGGCCTTATTCTACAATTGAGAAAGTTGGATTTCAACATCTGATTAATTTTTTGGAGCCCAGATATTCACTGCCTTCTCACACTGCAGAAAATCTATCTTAACGCTTGAATAATACAATTCAGCTTTGGAAATTGGAGAGGGCTGGCAAGGGTCCATCTGTAACAACAATCGAAGTGGGAGTGAATCGTGACACCCCTAAGAGACTGGTCTGCTACTTCAAGAATCTAATGACAAAGTTCAATATTGCCTCTTTTCACTCGACTCAATGTACTGCTCCAGAGAGAAGAACCCCTCATCTACCTCCTGTATGATGAGATGGTTTCTTTCATGAAAACGTTGTTTGGGAAATTTGTGCAAATAAAGACAATCAAAGAGGGTCTTCCTATCGTAACGGACATAGATTTTCAACCCATTGAAAACCAGCAGGGTGATGATGAGATTTTCATTGGACAGGAGACAAGGGAACCATTAGAATCCCTTGAAGTTCTTGGTGACATTTCCTCACTGCACAGGAAGCAATTCTTTAATGCAGTGAGGAAGTTTTATGTTAAAGCTGCAGAAGAAGCTATCAGGACCTTGCCATCCCCAAAGAAGTGTGGGAATCAGCAACAGTTCAGAACAACAATCAGAAGTTCTTTAGGATGGACAATATCTGGGGATATTTATCAAGATTCTTGTGGCTTCAGCCTCTTTCAAACAAAAGAGCCAGTTCAGTGGCATAGGAACTCCACAAAATCTACTTTGAGTAGGGATGGGGAAATCCAAGAATATTACAGTGTGATCAAGGCTCCCAGTTTAAGGGAGCAGTCAACCAACTATGCATTGAAATGGGAACAAAGGTTTCTGAGCTCACCATCCCCAATCTCAGGGAAAGGTGGGTGACAAATTTCAATGAAAACGTGCACTATAAACGTCAAGATAATAGATGTAGATACTAAATCGGAAGAACATTAATGTTGATGTTATTTGGAACATGTCATCTTTAGGGCAGAGCCACAAGCCAAAAAGATTATTTTTGACTTGCATGTGTGTGTGACAGGTGACAGGTGACAGGTGACACCGGTGGGCCCGGATACACAAACCTTCCACGAACACCTGCTACTACCACTATTTTATATTGATTCATAGCACATGTTTATGCTATTGTTGGAATCCTACAATGGACCCAGCTTTTAGTAGAGGTTTCTTATGATTATGGAATTTTTTTGTGTTATTTATTACATATACATGGTATAACACATGTTTGTACTTTTTACCTTTAAATTGTCTAATTTGGCATATTTAAGTGAAAATGCCTCATCTGTTGATTAATTAGGTGTTAATTTGTTTCAGAGTGAACGATCACACCGGGATTGGAAAAGCCATCTGGAATTTGATCACAGCAAACATGGTGAAGGAGAAAGCTTTAACTGGGTGGAAAAGTTATCATATGCTAGGATACACAACGAAAGCATTCATTCTGCTCTTGGTAAAGTTTGAATATATAGCTTTAATTTAATGTGGGCATATGTGACACAGTGTTAAGCACACAATGTAAGCATATACTTTTCCGACTGTACGCATGACCAACAAATAACCATCATCAGTAAAAATGATAATGGCTCATTACAGAAGGTACAAATGTTTCATAGTTGTCCAGGTATTGACCAAAATAAAGTTGCATGCACCCTTCAGATTACCGCAAATTTATAGAACTCTGGAAATATCAAGATTGCCACAGTGCAGTTGTGAAATTTATTGTTCATGAGAAACACAGGCTTGTATTTAAAAATAAATTCCTATGTTAACAGGTTGTTCACCATACAAGGCCATGCTGGGCTGCCCTCCAGTACACTTCAAGAATGTGTTGAGAGCTGGGAATACAGTTGATGCATACTCTTGCTCTGAAGAAGATGAGCAGGGCGAACTATCAGCAGAGAGTGATGAGGTATGGAGAATTTGTGTCGTTACGCATAATAACAAGAGGACGAACTCATCTATATACCCCACCCATTGTCTTAAATACAATATGTGCAATCAGATGTGACGTAAGTTATCAGTTTGTCTCACCTTCTTGTGGAAGAGGTTGAATACAAGAGGTGATATATCATCTCCATAAACTTTGTACAAATATCTGCTTTCGTAAAACTGTAATGATAAACACAGGTTATAATCATCTTCCAGTTTGTTAAAGCTAAGAATATTTGTATACTTGAGCACTGCACAATTAACTCATTTAGATGTCATGAATTGTATTGTAGAGCATTGTTTTCAGGCAGGTATTGTTGCAGCCCTTTACAGGTACATGTAGTTACCATAGTATGGTACACGGTACAGATAAGGTACAAAAGTTGTAAGCATGCTGACCCCTCAAAACCTGGTAAATTTCTAATACATCTACTATCAATCCTTTTATGGATTTGTCATTTAATTATAATAAGAAAATAAAACATATTTTGAAATTTTCAAAGAACAAAGACTTTATAACAGCCATAGACTGATATAGTACAAAGTTTCATGGAAAAGTACATAACAGAACGGAGGTAAAATTGATAAAATTGCTTCCATTCAATTCAAGGCTAAACTAACAAAATTTATTAAAAACAATAATTGGGGGAATAAATAGCAAAGAGCACATCTACACTATATTGTGAATGTGCTTACCAAGTTCCTGAAAGATATATCTAAAATAATTTTCCAGTTCTATTCCAGAAATGAAACCCACTGCTTTCATTCAGTTCAGGGACTATGTCAAACTTTATAAAATTTATATTAAAAAAATATAAATGATCGGAGTCATCATAAATAGCAAAAGGCACATCTACACTAAATGGTGAATGTGCGTACCAAGATTCATAAAGAAACTAAGTTCAAATTTCAAAACTTTATATCAAATATAAGAAAAAATTGTAGGGGCAGGGGATAATAACTAGTGGTGTAACGATACATGGAACTATCGATTGATTGCGATTGCTTGTTTCACGATAGTACACTGTCGATTGCAACATGAAACAATCGATACTATTGGCGATAGTTTGTCTACCTATCGATAGTTTCGATAGTTAATTTGTTTGGTACATTTACTTTCTTAAAAAACATAGAAACAACTCCTATGATCATCTAACCTTTGTCGTTCTTTCGTTTGGATTGCGCTACTTTGTCTGCTTGATTTAGAATTACGTCCCTTAGGTACCCGTCGCTTGGCAACATTGACAAGATGGCGGACGCCACATGTCAGTTTGAAATTGGGGCCAATAAGGCAGGCAAATCATGGGTATGGGACCATTTTGGCTTTGTCAAAACGCAAAACGAGACAGACAAGCAAAAAGTAAGTTGTAGAATCTGTCGGATAATTCTAAAGTATTCAGGAAATACTACTAATCTGACCGACCACTTGACAAGACGGCACCCAGATATTTGTATTAAAATGTTTTTGAGAGGTCAATTTGAACTTGTTTTCTTTTCATTTCTTGTTTTCTTTACAAATAGTATCAGAAAATTATAATTATTTTGATGGTGTCAGTCAAAATGCTGAAATATATGCTGCTAAAGCCTGCTATAATTGCAAGTGAAAACTATCGCAATAGTATCGCAATAGTAGGGCCACTATTGCAATAGTATCGCAATAGTTGTTTTAACTATCGCAATAGTCCAAAATACCTCAATTGTCACCCCTAATAATAACTGTCATCGGGTCCTGTAAACCTGTGCCATAATGACAGGAGATGTGACAAGTAGAGGCATGTACATACTGTAGTACTATTTCAATTCAAAGATATTTGAAGTAATGGTATGTTTAGAATATGTGGTAAAACTACATGTGAAGTGGAAGTGATATCATTTGACGTTTATGTTAGATATGTGGACATAAAAACTCACTGTTAATTAGTCTGATCCAGCTACTTTGGCCAATTTGTCATCCACTGTTGTCATGGTTATAAGAACAATCTGTGGCTTCCACTCACTTGAAAACGCCATGAAATGTCTGGAATTTTAGTCATATCATGAAATGACAAACCCTACCGGTCACTTCACGACTGTAATCATGGTAATATATACTGTATTTCCCTGATCTAGCAATCAACAGGTAAACAACATGTGATATCTGGTGAGTTCTGTGTTGGGCCATGCACGGAAATGAACCTATTTTTCTTGTACTTTTTCCATATTAAAAGTGTTAACCTAGAAGTGTCATAGACAAAAATATAAAAATATCACAATTAATCAACATAATTTTCGCATTAAAGCTATTTATATTTTTCACATTTACCAAGTGTTCTATTTCCATAACAAAAACACCATGGCTTATGCCCCTTGCAATATGACGTCATTGGTGCCAATTGATAAACTATATGACGTCATCATGCTTTGTTAGAGCCGCTTCACGTGGTGTAGGTACAGGTGTGTGATTCTTGCGTGTCAGATGCCAGCTAGCATAGTGTTATGCTGAGTCACCACTGCGCCGGAGTGTGTCGTAGGCCATGTTGTTTTACCGCAAACTGGTACTTGATATCTTTTGCGTTGAGAATAGACAGGGACCCAGTTGAATTGGCACCAATTATGTCATAATCTAAGGGGGATAACTCAGGCCTGTTTAGCTCGAAAAACGAAGGCCTCATAACGGCATATCATTTTCACACTATTGTGAGCTTCCTACTTTCACTGTGAAAAAATGAGTGTATATTTTCAAACACAGATACTAACTAATTCTAAAATTGCGTTTTGTTTAGAAAAAGAAAGAAAGTAACTTTTGCGTGTACACTTCCCCTTTAAGTTAACCCTGTCCATTACATAAGCTCACAATGACCATATCAAGTGAGCTGAAAGCATTGGTTTCTGCCAGGTTTCAGCAGCAGAGTTTTAAAACTCTTCTGTACATCAATGTAGCAGGGATTTATCTAGGAATCCAAACTAAGTGTCTTTGTTAGGTAAAAGCATTATTTTGGCCAAAAATGGGAGTTTTCTTGAGCGTTCAAAACCTTTTACTGAACCTTTTAAAATACAAGTCATCCTTGCAAACCTTTAACTTTGATCACAAGATGAAATGGATTATTTAAAAATTTATTAACAACACTTGCTGCACAAATGGGCCGAATATCGACCTCTGAGAACTCCTACATCAATCCCTGTGTAGCACAGAACTGCTAAATAAACTGATGCACCAAGATGCAACATGCTGCTAGATGGTTGCGCCCTTGATTGTTAAAACCAATAATGCCATAGATGGCAGAAAACATTGACATATAATGTGAGAACAGATCAGAGCTCTCTATAGGATGCATATCATTATCACATAAGCTTCTGCATAAGTGTAATACAAAATATTGACTAAAGTAAGCTAGTGTGAACATAATTCATATTTGCAGGCACAAGTTCATTTTTGGCATTTGTAGCACTATAGTCAAGACATGCTGGGTATCTGTAAAAAACTCCCACAAAATCACAACTTAATAGTGAAACAACAGTGTGCTTAATTACTTGCGTACTGACATCTGCTGTACTTTTGTTGTACTTTAGTTGTCTCATGTAAGATCTAAAGGTTCATCTGCTGTTCGTTTGCTGTCTGATGTTTAGATCTGAGAGAAAGGTTGACGTATGCTGTTCGTTTGACGTCTGATGTCAAGATCTAAGAGAAAGACTGATGTCTGCCGCGGCTGTTTCAGCAGCATCTTGGGACATCGTCAGGGGCAGCAATGTCGACCTCTTCACTATGCTACACGTGTTGTCTGCTGCACACACGAACAGCTGGAAGGTGAAGGTCAAGTCACAGTGGCTTTCTTCAGAGGCTGTCGGAATTTGTAGCTGTGTGAAGTGTTGCGTAGTTTCAGGTCGGAGCTTTCCTTTTGAGGCACCGTTGTTGCTGATGATGAGTTTACCTAGATTATCTGTGAAGAAACACAAGACTCATCAGGAGATGACATATCCCCCGTTCTGGTGCAATTCGGAAATGGAGTTTGGCTACTTATACCCCGCTTTTGTTCAATGCCATCAGATATTTTTGTTCAATACCAGCAGATATCTTAAGTTCAGTGAAGAAAAAAATAATGCTGTTCACTATATTTCAATGTCCCAAAACATCAAATGGCATCACTTCACTACTGACCTGGGCTGATCTGTATATCAAGTTGCATCAAGAAATGTTTAATGGTTTTGGAGTTCTGCTCCAGAAACAGACGGAGGATAGATGGACGGACAGAAATGCTGATTGCTATCATTTTCTAAAAAGGGGGTAATAATCAGCTTCAGTTGGACAACCTTAAAATCAAGCTGATCTTTTGTCAATTTTGATAAAATATTCTAACAATTAATGAATATAGCTTTGAAAAGGTTTAAGCATCACAATTATGACCAATCCAACTGATGGCAGTGTACTGTTAACCTCCTTTTTGGACACATTCTCTGATTGGCTCATCCGGAAAACCATGTGGCCAATTGCACATGTCATGGCAGGTTACACCGGCTCCTAAAAATGTATGGTTTTCGTTTAATTACGTTTTATGTGGTAAAATATGATTTGGGGTCAATAATTTGGACGAGTAGATTTTGCCTCCAGACAAGTGATCTTTTACTGTTTTCATTCCAGGGACAGGTTCCCAACTCTGATATGTCCATACCCCGGAAGTCATGCCTGCCCCACCAACCATGTCAAATCAATATCATAATGTATAGAGTCAGGAAAACGTGTGATGCTTTCAGATCAAGTGGGTGATTGAATTTGCATTAATGCTTTTTTTTAAAATTTCAGTTATATCACGGCATGTCAGCTTGATGTTGGAGGAAAGCTCGAAGTGATGCAGATCCTATGTGTTTACCACTTGGTGAAGACCTGTGAAGATCCGGGTAGAACAGGTTTTCAGCAACCCATGCTTGTCGTAAGAGGCAACTAATGGGATCGAGTGGTCAGGCTCGATTATTTACAGACCCCCGTCATATAGCAGGAATATTGCTGAGTGCGGTGTTAAACAACAAACGAACAAACCACTTGGTGAAATCCACATGCATAGGTTTGGTGCTGACAAACCAAGGATCATAATATGGGATTCAAACCCACTTGGATTGTTGCTTATATGCCCCGGGATGCTACTCTGCACAACTATTTTCTGTACCTTAAACAACTGGGACTATAATCTATTGGGAGATAAACATACGTCTAAATGTTTTGAGGTATAATGATCACAATTTAGAGAACATGGGTCTAAAATCAACAACATAAACTTAAAACTAGAAGCACAGTGGGACCACAATCACACAATGACAAAATCAAATATGGGGTATGAAAAGTCATCTTCCCGTGGCAAGAGAGTTAACTGACTTTAGAGTCCAGTTTCCACCCTTGCCGAACTAGGCTACATTTTGTATGGACTAACGAGTGTATGCATAGTCCAAACAAAATCGCGCACCGAAATCAAAATCCGTTTGTAAACTGTCGTGCAGATTTCGATCGATTGCAGGATTTGCAAAGCATGTGCACCGCCAACGCGTTGTCAGCAGATATTTTCCAAATCCTTTCATGTTTTTAATCAAGGTGCTCAAGTGATTTGATGCATTTAACGATGTAAGACCCGTTTTACCACAATATAGATCTTGATTATCGATCAGATCGTCCTGACTGGGCGCCACCATCTTGTGTGAAGCAAACGCAAGTGATACGAGAGGTGGAATCTGATTGGTCCACAAGAGAGGTTTAGAAGGGACATAATTGGTAATAGCCACTGGTGGCGCAACGATCGAGCCCAGTAATTCCAGCCAAGTTCGGCAAGGGTGGAAACTGGACTTTTAAAGTCAGTTAACTCTCTTGCCTCGGGAAGATGATGAAAAGTTAACGCTCTAAGAACTCAAACTTAGCATTTCATATCCTACAATTGCTAACAGATTGCTTTTTTAGAGCAACTGTCACAAAAAAGTATTCCCCCTCCCACCATGCCCACTGAATTAAACAACATTTTAGCCTGTATACCTTGACTTTGGAGTTTCCATGAGTTGGGCGCTTCCTCATTCAGGTGGTCTTCCACAGCAAGATCAACGGTCAAGGTCAGGTCAAGGTGACCTCCAGGTCTGACCTTCAAAGCTGTGTGCACACTGTCCACATCAGGAGCAGGATCTGCTGTGTCATTATTCTCTGACTTCTCTGGGAAGGAGTCCAGTATAACGGGGAGCTGAAACATTACATCATCACTCTGAGTGAGTATTGTTTTACGGCGCTTTTAGCAATATTCCAGCAATACCACGGTGGGGGACACCAGAAATGGGCTTCACACATTGTACCCATGTCAGGAATCGAAACCCAGGTCTCCGGCATGACGAGCGAACGCTTTAACCACTTGGCTACCCGACCGCCCTACATCATCACTCTGATGTTCAAGCAGTTTTAAACAAAGCCAAAAAAAGCTGAATAGGCTTGATCAATGCACGCTGTTTGTTTGTTGGTTGGTTTTATGCCACACTCAGCAATATTCCAGCTATATGACGGGGGTCTGTAAATAATCGAGTCTGGACCAGACAATCCAGTGATGATATCATGAGCATCTACCCAAGTAATTGGGATACGATGACAAACATCAACCAAGTCAGCGAGTCTGATCACCTGATCCTGTTAGTGGCATGGGTTGCTGAAGACCAATTCTAACCCAGGTCTTCACGAGTCTCAATGCACACTGAAGTGCCAAGCTGTGTACCAGGTATATACCTGTGTTATTTATTTTGGGATTCCACGTGATTCCAAATGTTTAACTGTAGGAGTTCCAGGTTACAAAATTGGTGTCCCAGAGGAATGGCAAACATTGAATACAATACTTTACCACTAGTGATGTTATACTGCACATGCTGAGAGGTTCTTAGGTAAAAATAGGATAAAACTAAGTAAACATGGGAGTTTCCCAACAGAAAAGAATCTATAAGTGCTGGCGTTCAAAGTCATTTGACTATGTAGTCTATGTTTTAAATTATAAGACCCGTGAAGATCTGGGGTAGAATAGGTCTTCAGCAACCCAACTGGAGATGGCGAGTGAAATGTTTCACTAAATGAACAGGAAGAGGACACATTAAATTCTGGTAAGAACCTTCAACCCTCAAAGTAGCTACCATTTTGGTGGCCAAACGCGATTAAAATCTATGAATGGCGATCTAAATTTATCTACAGCTCGCCACTTGGCAACCTAAAAGTAAACATAACTGGCAATAATACAGTAAATCTTGAAATTAATGCGAGCATGAATTAAATGCGAAAAACATGGGTGGTCGCAATGATTTTGAGTCTCATTTTTGGCTAGGGGTCAGCAGTCATATTAATTTGGAGATGCATTAATTTCAAGATTTACAGTATCTGTTTAAGATATCTATGGTTCCTAAAAACTTAGGTTTGGCTCCTAAAAGATTCATGTTAGGAGCTACTTGGCTCCCTTACAAAAAATGAACAAAGAGGGCTGACCTTTGAACCAGACATTTCTGGCAACCAGGCTTGATAAAGATAACACATAAAATGCAACTTTAGACATGATACAAAATGGCTGCCAGGAGATGGAGAAACACAACATTAATGAGTTAACCTTGGTTAAACTTGGGTTACATGTTTGTCATCAAGGGTTCACACGGATTGTCCAGGTTACGTGCAAGACACTGACTGAAGCGAGTGTGCTACCTGAGTAAGGGTTTTCTTCTCCATGTGGTACACTTTGATGGCGTGATGGTTTGTGTCTGCAATATAGACCACCCCCTTCCTTGCGTCAACACACAGTCCACCGGGCTCACTGAGTTGTCTCCCTTCCTCCGCCAGACCAATAACAGTTGTGCATTCCTTTGTCTTCAGATCAATACTCTTCAGCTGAGGGAGAAATGGATGTGTTATTTGGAGAATGGTCCGATAAAGAGTGTGTGTGTCTTAATGCTACAGTCAACAAATCATGGCAATAGAAAGGGCTTCACACACTGTCAATGTTGCTGTGCACAGCGAGGGACACCAGCAATGGTAGATAGGCATTAACAAAGGGCTTCACACACTGTCAGTGTTACTGTACTTGCACAGCGAGGGACACCGGCAATGGTAGACAGGCATTAACAAAGGGCTTCACACACTGTCAGTGTTACTGTACTTGCACAGCGAGGGACACCGGCAATGGTAGACAGGCATTAACAAAGGGCTTCACACACTGTCAGTGTTACTTTACTTGCACAGCAAGGGACACCAGCAATGGTAGACAGGCATTTACAAAGGGCTTCACACAATGTCAGTGTTACTGTACTTGCACAGCGAGGGACACCGGCAATGGTAGACAGGCATTAACAAAGGGCTTCACACAATGTCAAAGTTGCTGTACTCAGCGAAGGACACCAGCAATGGTAGACAGGTATTAACAAAGGGCTTCACACAATGTCAATGTTACTGTACTTGCACAGCGAGGGACACCAGCATTGGTAGATAGGCATTAACAAAGGGCTTCACACACTGTCAGTGTTACTGTACTTGCACAGCGAGGGACACCAGCAATGGTAGAAAGGCATTAACAAAGGGCTTCACACACTGTCAGTGTTACTTTACTTGCACAGCAAGGGACACCAGCAATGGTAGACAGGCATTTACAAAGGGCTTCACACAATGTCAAAGTTGCTGTACTCAGCAATGGACACCAGCAATTGTAGACAGGCATTAACAAAGGGCTTCACACAATGTCAAAGTTGCTGTACTCAGCGAAGGACACCAGCAATGGTAGACAGGTATTAACAAAGGGCTTCACACACTGTCAGTGTTACTGTACTTGCACAGCGAGGGACACCGGCAATGGTAGACAGGCATTAACAAAGGGCTTCACACACTGTCAATGTTGCTGTGCACAGCGAGGGACACCAGCAATGGTAGATAGGCATTAACAAAGGGCTTCACACACTGTCAATGTTGCTGTGCACAGCGAGGGACACCAGCAATGGTAGACAGGCATTAACAAAGGGCTTCACACACTGTCAATGTTGCTGTACACAGTGATGGACACCAGCAATGGTAGACAGGCATTAACAAAGGGCTTCACACACTGTCAATGTTACTGTACAAAGCGATGGACACCAGCAATGGTAGATAAGCATAAACAAAGGGCTTCACACACTGTCAATGTTACTGTACACAGCAAGGGATACCAGCAATGGTAGATAGGCATTAACAAAGGGCTTCACACACTGTCAGTGTTACTGTACAAAGCGATGGACACCAGCAATGGTAGATAGGCATTAACAAAGGGCTTCACCCACTGTCAATGTTGGACACACAGCGATGGACACCAGCAATGGTAGGTAGGCATTAACAAAGGGCTTCACACACTGTCAATGTTGCTGTGCACAGCGAGGGACACCAGCAATGGTAGACAGGCATTAACAAAGGGCTTCACACACTGTCAATGTTGCTGTGCACAGCGAGGGACACCAGCAATGGTAGACAGGCATTAACAAAGGGCTTCACACACTGTCAATGTTGCTGTGCACAGCGAGGGACACCAGCAATGGTAGACAGGCATTAACAAAGGGCTTCACACACTGTCAATGTTGCTGTGCACAGCGAGGGACACCAGCAATGGTAGACAGGCATTAACAAAGGGCTTCACACACTGTCAATGTTGCTGTGGTCAGCGAGGGACACCAGCAATGGTAGACAGGCATTAACAAAGGGCTTCACACACTGTCAATGTTACTGTGCACAGCGAGGGACACCAGCAATGGTAGATAGGCATTAACAAAGGGCTTCATACACTGTCAATGTTACTGTTCTAGCACAGCAAGGGACACCAGCAATGGTAGACAGGCATTAACAAAGGGCTTCATACACTGTCAATGTTACTGTTCTAGCACAGCAAGGGACACCAGCAATGGTAGACAGGCATTAACAAAGGGCTTCACACACTGTCAATGTTACTGTTCTAGCACAGCAAGGGACACCGGCAATGGTAGACAGGCATTAACAAAGGGCTTCACACACTGTCAATGTTGCTGTGCACAGCGAGGGACACCAGCAATGGTAGACAGGCATTAACAAAGGGCTTCACACACTGTCAATGTTGCTGTGCACAGCGAGGGACACCAGCAATGGTAGACAGGCATTAACAAAGGGCTCCACACACTGTCAATGTTGCTGTGCACAGCGAGGGACACCAGCAATGGTAGACAGGCATTAACAAAGGGCTTCACACACTGTCAATGTTACTGTTCTAGCACAGCAAGGGGCACCAGCAATGGTAGACAGGTATTAACAAAGGCTTCACACAATGTCAATGTTACTGTTCTAGCACAGCAAGGGACACCAGCAGTGGTAGACAGGTATTAACAAAGGCTTCACACACCAGTGTTACAGTGTACCGTGCACTGCAACCACCTCGGGCGTGGCTGATCGACATATCCACCAGTTTGGAAGCTCACCTTATGATTATAGGAGTCGACCACCAGCAGTGGTCCCTCGTCACCAACTAGCGCGACGCCTAGGGGATGCTGCAGCTTCGCGGCCACACCCACTCCGTCAACATCACCGAAGGCAAACAAATTCTACAAGGAAACAAACCCATTATTGGATGGAAAATCAAATATCAATAAATCTTTTCTCCAATCAGATTATGAAAACATTTGATTACTAAAACTAGAACTTTAAGAGGTTAAAAAATAGTAAAAGATTACTCAATACTTGCTGAGGCCAAACTTTTGACAAAAAACTATTTTGGTCCTTCATAGTAATACTATGTAATACTAAGTAGTATATTATGAGCTTAAATAGTTTGGTTGATGTTTATTTGTGCTCAGAATCCTCATGGGGTTATCTATCACTGAGTATATCTCTAGAACAGCATGATTTGTTTTCGAGTGGGCAAGCTTCATCTATAAAACTGACACGGCTGAACAGTTTTCCATGAACTCAACTCACCGTTGGATCTCTCTCCCCGCCCACCAGTGCTCGCACAGCACCATCTTTAAGCAGGACTGTTCGTACACTAGAGCTCTCAGCATCAGCAACATAGAGGCTGTTCAGCTTGTCAGGGGGAGATGTTGCGAGGCCAGACGGCTGAGCAAACGCAGCTTTAGCAGGGTAGCTGTTGTTTCGGTTCTCCTCGTTGCCCGAACCGGCAAACCTAATACACGTGCCGGCCTTATGTTCACTGTCATAGCAAACATAACAATACATTAACTTATCACTCTTTTTTAAATCAGCATTGCTTTTCTTCTTCTTGTTTAACGCTGCACTCAGCAATATTCCAGCAAAGGACAACAGCCAATAAATAATCAAGTATGGACCAAACAATCCAGTGATAGGGTTTTGGTTTTTTGGTTTGGTTTGTTGTTTAACGCCGCACTCAGCAATATTCCAGCTATATGACGGCAGTCTGTAAATAATCGAGTCTGGACCAGACAATCCAGTGATTGACAACATGAGCATCGATCCATGCAATTGGGACCGATGACATGCATCAACCAAGTCACCGAGCCTGACCACCCGATCCCGTTAGTCGCCTTTTACGACAAGCATAGTCGCCTTTTACGGCAAGCATGGGTTGCTGAAGACCTATTCTACCCCGGATCTTCACGGGCCCCAGTGATAGGGACCTATTCTAGCCCAGAACGCCCTGGAGTAAATTCATCATTAAATAAACTTTCAGTAAACATTGTTAAACATAATGAAACTTCACCTATGTCCCGAGCAAACATAATATTTACCGTTACGGATGACCGTTAATTGTGTTTGTTTGTTGTTTAATGCAATATTTCAGCAAAATGACGGCGGTCTGTAAATAATCGAGTCTGGATCAGGCAATCCAGTGATTGACATCATGAGCATCGATCGACACAACAGTGATAGTGACTGAGTGAGTGAGTATGGTTTACGCCGCTTTTAGCAATATTCCAGCAAAATCACGGCGGGGGACACCAGAAATGGGCTTCACACATTGTACCCATGTCGGGAATCGAACCTGGGTCTTCGGCATGACGAGCGAACGCTTTAACCACTAGGCTACTCGACCACCCCACAACAGTGATAGGATGACATGCATCAACCAAGTCAGTGAGCCTGACCACTGATCCCATTAGTGACCTCATACAAGCAGTGCACTCCAGCTTTGGTTTCACTAAAACTTCATATTCATTGATTTCATTATTGTTATCAGCATGATCTAAATCAATTTCAAAGAAAATAGTCTGCAAGGACAAAATTATTCATTTGTTCATGCCATCGAATGCAAACACGTTCACCAAAATAAATTTGTATTCATGCTACAGGTAAAACTGTATCATCATCATCATCATCATCATCATCATCATCTCAACATACTCAAGGACAATAAAACATAATCTGAATTGTACTTGACCGCCTCCGTGGTCTTGTGGTAGAGCGTCCCCCCGGAGAGCGGAAGGTCCAGGGTTCGATCCCGGGCCGCGTCATACAAAAAGACGTTAAAAGATGGTACTTCTTGTTACCCTGTCTGGCGCTCGGCATTAAGGGGCTAAAACAAGGACTGGTCGGCTCGGAGTCAGTATACTGTGTCTGAGTGGGGTATTCATGTTAAACTGCGGCATGGTATCTCAGTGAGCTAGCACTATAAATCGGCTTCAGTCCGGACTAGTACAAGCAGCCACACACACACACATACACGTGCATGCACGTCGCTATATAAGTGCAATAATCTTGGACGCGACGTTAAACCCAATTTCACCTCACCTCACCTGAATTGTACTTATATCATTATTTTTCAACCAACCAGCCTCCTGGCCCGGATATTTCACAAGGTATCCGTAAACCAACAAACAGAATTCTGAGCTAAAGTCCAACATCGGGAGAAGGAAGTGACTTACCTGCCCTTGTACCACTTCCTGTCTTGCAGGAAGTACACCCAGATCTGATGTGTTCCTGCCATCGCGATGTACAGCACACTCGGGGAGAGGTCACCTGTACAGAGGTCAAGGTCAGTGTTGCCAGGATATTCCCTCACAAGCACCAGCATGGTGACTTCTGAACACGCCAGTGTAAATCAACACTGATGACAAATTTTTATTTTTTTTTGTTTAACGCCACACTCAGCAATAATCCAGCTATATGACGGCGGTCTGTAAATAATCAAGTCAGAACCAGAGAGTCCAGTGATTGATATCATGAGCATCAATCCACGCAATTGGGAAACGATGACATGCATCAACCAAGTCAGCAAATCTGACCACCTGGTCCTGTTGGTCACCTCTTACAACAAGCATAGACACCTTTTACAGCAAGCATGGGTTGCTGAAGACCTATTCTAGCCCGGATCTTCTTGAGTGCTGATGACAAAATATCCATGTACACAGTAAGTGAGTGAGTGAGTTTGGTTTTAAGGCGCTTTTAGCAATATTCCAGCAATATCACGGCGGGGGACACCAGAAATGGGCTTCACACATTGTACCCATGTCAGGATTCGAACCAGGGTCTTCGGCATGACGAGCGAACGCTTTAACCACTAGGCTACCCAATCGCCCCTCCATGTACACAGCTTAAGCCATGCTGTGAATAACTTAGCAAACAAACAAAGCTGACTTTGAATGATTTTGTTTGTCATGCTACACAACATTATTTCAGCTATTTGACAGCGACATGTAAATATGATTAAGGACCTGACAATCCAGTGATTAATATTATTAGCAACAATCCACACGGTCAGGATACGATGCAATCAACCAAGTCACCGAGCCTAACCATCGATACATATGGTCGCCTCTTTGGACCAGCATATGTTGTTGGGGATCAATTCTCACCCGGAATCCCAATGGGGAGATTTTGAATGGCATGACTGTGTTTTTATCTGCTATCAATTTTTATGTGTCCAGTAAACCCCTGCCTGATTATACAGATTGATGGAAGACGACTGACCTTGCCCCCATCCCAGCACCACGTCCCAAGGGGAGGACAATGGCTGCTGGGGACCACTGCGACCCCCTTCTTTGTCCGTCCCCTGCAGGCCTGTACCGGCTATCGTCCTCACAGTCCCAGACTCCAGGTCGATCTGCAACAATTCAGCTCTGTGCAGCAGTGTTACAGCATTGATAGGCATGACAAATACTTGATACCATCTGGCATAAATGAAGCCAGTGTTATGCCAACAAACTGAACAAGTCGGGACAGGGACCCCTTCAGCATACATACATGGGGTCATTCTCAAAACTTATGGGGACACAATCTGACAGATAGTCCAAAAATTTAAAAAAACATGGTATGCAGGTTATTGATGCACAATATCCGTCCACAAATAACGTTAGCGAAACACACAATTATTTCTTGGCATCTTTTTCAGATATTACATACTGCAGCAATAACATCTCATGTCAAACAGCTTAAGTACCCTGTTTGTGAACACTGCCGTCAGCATGTCTCTTCAAAGAACTAAAATTAGAATCTAGCTTTGTCATTGTATACACCAAGTTGAACTTGAAGTGAGTGAGTCAGTTGAGTTTAACGCCGCTTTTAACAGTATTCCAGTTATATCACGACGTGTCAGCTTAATGTGGGAGGAAAGCCCGAAGTGATGCAGGTCTCAGACGTTTACCACTTTGGTGAAACCCAAGAGCACGGGTATGGTGCTGACAAACCTAGAATCATAATCATGATAATCGGGGCGAACCGGGATTCGAACCCACAATCATAGGTTTCTGGCGTGCCCAAGGGACGCAACTCTGCACAGGGAATCACGGCGCCTTAGACGACTGGGCCACCCGTGCCCCCTACACCAAGTTGGATGCACCACTAGATTCGGGATGGTAATTATGTGCAAGGCTGCATAAAAAACTAACCATGCTAACACTTTTCGTGGGCACAAGGTGAGGGTCAGGATTATTATTTTTATTTTGTACCGAAATAAAAAGTGTCGGGAGCAGTGTTCAAAATAAGTGCCGGCCCATTCGCCTGTGGCAGGTAGATCTCATGTCGGCCAGTTGAAAATTTGTATGGGTCCTCATGGCCTGCAGTAAATTTATGTGTCTCTGCATGAAGTACAAAGGCTGCAGTTTTTTAAATGAGGGTGTGAAGAGTTCAGTGAGGCCTGCAGGTACGAGAGTCTGTGGGTCCTGATGGCAGCCTGTCAGTACCTGTTTACTCCAAACACTGGCTGAGGAAGGAACTCTTTTAGTCTTACCAACCAAGAATACCAACAAACACAACTGGGTGCACATTGAACTCTTAAACATGTTTAATGTCAGTTGTCAAGCTTTTCATTATCAGGATAACAGTTTGGATAAGCTTCATCATGTTTATGTGTGGAAATTAGAAATATAATTTCTTATTGGCAATAAAAATGACTGATGCGTAAGGATTTAAATGATGTGTCAGTGCCTGAGAAACTTTTCCTTTTTTAAGCCGTCATGGACATATATTTCAGGGTCCAGGTACTTCCTTGCTACATTCAGTGTATCACATGAACATTATTAGCCTACCAGTCGTATTGCGTGGTTGTCGGTGTCTGCCACGTACACCTGTGTCCCCCACGCCGCCACCCCCTGGGGAGAGGAGAACCTCGCCCTGGAGAATTCTCCGTCCTGGAATCCTCGATCAGGTCCCCCGACGGCATGCTGGAGGAGATAATAAGGCACATCAGTTGAAGTGATGAATAAGCAGGGGATGGTACACACCTGCACAACCCCTGTGTCCTCACATACACACCTGCACAACCCCTGTGTCCTCACACACACACCTGCACAACCCCTGTGTCCTCACACACACACCTGCACATCCCCTGTGTCCTCACACACACACCTGCACAACCCCTGTGTCCTCACATACACACCTGCACAACCCCTGTGTCCTCACACACACACCTGCACATCCCGTGACCTCACACACACACCAGCACAACCCCTGTGTCCTCACATACACACCTGCACAACCCCAGTGTCCTCACACACACACCTGCACAACCCCTGTGTCCTCACACACACACCTGCACATCCCGTGACCTCACACACACACCAGCACAACCCCTGTGTCCTCACATACACACCTGCACAACCCCAGTGTCCTCACACACACACCTGCACAACCCCTGTGTCCTCACATACACACCTGCACAGCCCCTGTGTCCTCACATACACACCTGCACAACCCCTGTGTCCTCACATACACACCTGCACAACCCCTGTGTCCTCACACACACACCTGCACAACCCCTGTGTCCTCACACACACACCTGCACAACCCCTGTGTCCTCACATACACACCTGCACAACCCCTGTGTCCTCACATACACACCTGCACAGCCCCTGTGTCCTCACACACACACCTGCACAACCCCTGTGTCCTCACACACACACCTGCACATCCCGTGACCTCACACACACACCTGCACATCCCCTGTGTCCTCACACACACACCTGCACAACCCCTGTGTCCTCACACACACACCTGCACATCCCGTGACCTCACACACACACCAGCACAACCCCTGTGTCCTCACATACACACCTGCACAACCCCAGTGTCCTCACACACACACCTGCACAACCCCTGTGTCCTCACATACACACCTGCACAACCCAAGTGTCCCCCAAATCACACCTGCACCACCCCAGTGTCCCCCAAATCACACCTGCACCACCCCAGTGTCCCCCAAATCACACCTGCACAAACCCCAGTACCCCTACATACACACCTGCACCACCCCAGTACCCTTACATACACACCTGCACCAACCCCAGTGTCCCCAAAATCACACCTGCACCAACCCAGTACCCCTACATACACACCTGCACCAACCCAGTACCCCTACATACACACCTGCACCTCCCCAGTGCCCCTACATACACACCTGCACCTCCCCAGTGCCCCTACATACACACCTGCACCTCCCCAGTACCCCTACATACACACCTGCACCAACCCAGTGTCCTCCACATACACACCTGCACCACCCCAGTACCCCTACATACACACCTGCACCTCCCCAGTACCCCTACATACACACCTGCACCAACCAAGTACCCCTACATACACACCTGCACCAACCCAGTACCCCTACATACACACCTGCACCTCCCCAGTGCCCCTACATACACACCTGCACCAACCCATTACCCCTACATACACACCTGCACCACCCCAGTACCCCCACATACACACCTGCACCAACCCAGTACCCCTACATACACACCTGCAAGATCCCCGTCTCTGCCTGCAGCACCAACACCCGGTTGTTGCCCGTGTCCGACACCACCAGGTCCCCGCCCTCTGTCAGACACAGCTTCCCCGGGAAACTGAGGGGTGAACCCTGCTTCTTGTGTTTCTCTAGACTCAGGGGGATGTCTGCATCTTTCACCTCATCTTTGGCCTTGTAATGTTCCACTGCTATGCCAACAAATTCCTCCAGTTTATCCTGATGACCTTCACCCACCATTGCATAGATATACTGACCTTTGGGTCCAACCAAAAGGAATGTAGGCCAACAGCTAATCTCCAGCTGTTGCCACAGCAATGCATCACAATCATTAACAACAGGGTGTTCAATGTTATATCTGAGAACGGCACTGAGAATGTTCGCTGTTACTTTCTCATTCAGGAATTTTGCTGAATGAACACCAACTATGACGACTCCATCCTTCACCTTGAACTTTGACTCCAAGTACTCCAAATCTGGCAACACATGCATACAGTTGATGCAGCAGTAAGTGAAGAAGTCAAGCACCAACACTTTTCCAGCAAGCTGATTGGCCAGAGACAATGCTTCCGGAACATTGAGCCAATCAAGACCTGTGAAACAAAACAAAGGTTTAATTTACCTATTCTGGCTTTTTTAACATAGTTTGACAGATGAACAGCAGGGATTTATCTGGACCTGCTCAGAGTCCGACATCCGGACCCCAAATCTGCAGTAAATGTCAGTCAAAAATTCCCAAATAGGATTTACAAAATACCCAATTCATGTTAAATAGAATTAATTTATCATGAATTGATGCCATCATGGTTATGTAGAAGCGACTTGCATTACACGCATCAAGTTGAGCAACATAATGATTACGTTTCCAAATTTCCTGCCAAGGGCAGACCACCTCCGTGGTCTAGTGGTAGAGCGTTCGCCCGGAGTGCGGAAGGTCCGGGGTTCGATCCCCGGCCGTGTGATACCAACAGACGTTGAAACATGGTACTTATTGTTACCCTGTCTGGCGCTAAGCATTAAGGGGATAAAACAAGGACATGTCGGCTTGGCATCAGTATACTGTGTCTGAGTGGGGTATTCATGAAAAACTGTGGCATGATATCTCAGTGAGCTAGCACTATAAATCGCCATCAGACCAGACTAGTACAAACACACAAACACACACACACACACACACACACACACACACACACATCGCTATAAGTGCAATTATCTTGGACGTGACGTTACACCAAAATTTCACCTCACCTCACCTCACCTTCCTGCCAAGGGCACTTACTTTTGAACAACTTGGTCCACATATTTAACATTTAACATATTTACGTCCTCTACTGTTTAAAAGTTCATTTTTCATAGTTCATCCAAATGTGGTACAAATAGTATCATACTCAAATGTTTGTGTATGGTATCGATTAAGTACTGACTACAAGTATAAAACAAACCCAGTGTCTAGAAACTGATTGGTTATATATTTAAGATACCAAACTTTTCTAAAATTCAACTGATCACTGCATATACACATATACATGTACAGCTCATAGTCACCATGAACAGATTTGATTTTGTTTGCAAAACCGAGAAGAGTATGCAATCAAGAGGAAAACAGCTACAGCTATGACATTTTTTTGGTTGCAATATTTATAGTCAAAGTTAGTGTCACCATCAGTAATACAGTATTACTATTACTAGCAGACATTGTAAATGATTCAAAAATACCTCTTTATGAGTTTTGTCCTGGATCTTTCTTAAATGTCCTGAAAATATCTATGTCAAAATCTTGATAATGGTCATGAACTATACAACCAGTATTTGAAACAAGCACCTGCCCTGACAAACATACCACTGCTCACTCACATGTAATCAAGGTAAGAAGGTAAGCATGGTAATACGACTGGGATTTGTATAGACCTGCTCAGAGACCGATATTCTGCCCAAAGTCTGCAAATGTCAATAAAAATTCCCAAAATGGAATTAAAGATTTCCCAATAAATCATGTTCATGTAACTATATAACTAACTGTATAGCTTTGCACAGGCAACCGGTAGTTCACTGATCATGCTGACAATAGGACCAATTAAAAGCAAGATGTGTTAACATGTTTAATGCTCAGTAATATATTATTTCATTGAATGCAATCTCAAAATACACTGATAAAATACCTCTGAATGTAGGAAAATAATAACTTCATAAAAGTCAATTGCCATCTTTGAACTTGCCTGCCAGGGGCAATTAATGCATCAACGTTTTCATACTGTGTGAGATTTGTCCACACTACTAAACTAAGTGATCGTGGATGTCAAATTCAGGCGAAAATCATAATACTTCTTCAAAACTAGGATATACACATTTTGAACCAATTTGTTGAAAATACAGCCAAAGTTATGATCACATATGAAAGTATTCCGTACAGTCAAGATGGACATGAACGATAGAAAGCATGACAAATCCACAGCGGACACACGCCTGCCTGCATGCTGCACCTCGTTTTCTAGCTCTTTCTAGTCATTCGTCCATCTCATGAGCGACAGACACACAACATTGTTAAACAAATTATCTACCTGTTTTGAAATCAGGAATAACAAAGTCCAAAGAGTCCACTTTATCAAGATGTCGTAGGATAATTGTTTTTCTTTCTTCCTTGTCTGTTATGTCTGTCAACTCTTCATCGAGTGTCATGCACTGAGCGACAACTTCTGTAAGTCCCGCCATTTTGATTATCATGACTTCCGGATTTCCCCCGAATGACGTCATTATTTTTAAAGGGCGTGATATATGCTATTTTTAGACATAGGCAATCCTATGCGTGGACGAGTGTGTGAGAAGGAATTAACGCCGCTTTGGGCAGTATTTCAAAGTCTCAAGTGACACAGGTTGTGGGCGCTTACTACATTGATGAAACCCGCGGTTATGATGACCAAGGATCATTTAATCAGTACTGTACTGGTTTGGATTGGAATCCTCGCACATAGGATCCCTAACTGCGAAAACTGCAGCCTTTAGACTAATAACTGATTGATTAATTTATAAGTGAGTTATTTTTAACCCCAAATCCATAGAAATAACAGTAAATTCCGCAAGCATAGCTTTTGTGTCGACAGAACATCTGAGATTCTAACCTGAGGATCCTGGCACGCCCAAGGACCATAACTCAGCAAAGCATAACTATTCTAACCAAGCCATGCAATGAAACCCACGTGCTGATAACCAATGTTCAGAATAAGTGTCATCGGATCCTGACATGGCGAAGTGAATTCTGGTTGGCTTGGATCACTCCTCATTTGGAGGTATTTTACTTTTCAAAGAATAAATCAAATATGGATAAATTGGAACCCAAAGACTTTTCAAACTTGAAAATTTTCGATGTCCATTGAGAGTTCCGTTAATATCACTCACCCTTTCAGCACTCAAGCATAAAAAAAACTGTATACATATACTCAAACTAGAAAGTAAATGTGATCAAATGAATTTATTGATGAATGAAAGTCAATCATGATTATATTGTGCTATCGATTGCATGTGGCGTTTGAGAAAAAATCGATGTAATGACGCGAATTCAATAATTGAAAAAATGAAGTTGTTCAAAAGCCTTTCAAAGACAGAGTGGGGATTTGAAGTTACGTCCTTCTAAAACAATATGACTGAGCACAAGACCTCATGCATACGCTTTTGTCTTGTAGATAGATATACAAATATACCTTCTCCGTTTTCAATTATTTACATTGTGTATGACGTATCATTGTTACTGATAATATTGAAATGAGCTCGTGTGGTTTTTGACATATCAGCGTTCCTTCTTATTCACTACACATTGGGGGGCGGTCGGGTAGCCTAGTGGTTAAAGCGTTAGCTCGTCACGCCTAAGATCCGGGTTCGATTCCCGACATGGGTACAATGTGTGAAGCCCATTTCTGGTGTCCCCCGCCGTGATATTGCTGGAATATTGCTAAAAGCGGCGTAAAACCATACACGCTCACTCACTCACTACACATTGGGACGCTCGACACCTCAACGTCACTATCGTATTCCAGCTTTCAAACAAGTTTGAAAGATTAACATATTCCCGAGGCAAGGGAGTTAACCGACTGTCACTGACCATTAAAGAAACCTGAAACTGGACTTTTAGCGACAGTTAACTCCCTTGTCTCGGGAAGAAGAAATTATAAAGGGCTCAAATGCTAATAACTGCTCTGATAATTTAGCTTTCCAACTCATATTTTCGAAGATAAAAAGCTCCGAACTTTTTTAGTCAAGAATGATTTGGCAAGTTAGATTGCCTCAGCTCTAGCTGAATTTAAGCTTTTTTCTGGACTACATTTGAATTTAAATTTTTATTTAAATAAGATAACTGTACAAACCAACCAACCAACCATATCCCAGGGAGACCTGGCGGTAGTAAAAGCGTCAGTAAAATACTCAACTACCGACATTTTCAAGAACATTTCAATACCTTCCTGAGCATAGATATGACGACGGTCAGGTGCGTGAGGTACATTGAAAAGGAGGTCTTCATTGTCTGACACACAGCCAGAACCTATGTCTACACGGGCACGTGGGCAACTGTGAGCATTTCGAGATATGTTAAATTTAGTCTTGACAAATGATACAGCCGCTGTTGATCACATGACCCGTGTTCCTCATAATGCTTTCCAGGAGCCTCTTCAGGTCACACACAATGGATGTATGTATATGTAATGTATGACCTGAATTGAGTGAGTGAGTGAGTGAGTGAGTGAGTGAGTGAGTGAATTAAAAATTGAAGTCACATCGGCAATATTTCAGCCATATCGTGACGATCATGGGCTAAACATAATAAACATATTGAGACTTATATAAAAACATGCCAACGAAGGACAGTAAAATAACTATACTTATCACAGAAAAAGGAATCACAAAAGGATAGCACTATACATAACAATAACATGATAAAAACGGGCTAGAGATCGCCAGCCACTGAAGAGAGATCACCCTACTGGGGACCATGGGGACTTACAGTAACTTTGCTACCTACATGGACTCCAGCAGGATTTACACCATCCCTTCAGCCGCTGGCGATTGTATGCAAGTTTAGCCATCAATTAAAACTAACAAACATGCTACGATTAAAATCGTGGTAGGCCTTAATTTACTTTGAATGATGTGGAACTTATTTACCCTCTCAGGGCGACAATAATTTTACATTACCTTGGCCCCCTTCAAGGATACCGCCACTGAAATCTCAGTTGCTAATTTAATCCACCAATTTTAAAACATTCATATTTTATGACACGTAACAATGAAAATTTCTTAAACAACATTATTTCCTTTAAAAACACAATGATTAAACGAGAATTAATACTATTAAAAAGATCTTTAATAGATGATGATTTGAAATATTTATATCTTGTGATGGCAAAATCAATATAGTCAAGCAAGACATGCTTGATTGTAAGGGATACAAAATGGAGGATCCTCCGCACGTTTCAATAAATATTCATTTGTACACCTGCTGTGGCCAATACGACATCGTCGTATTATGACTTCTTCAAATCTGGACTGACAACCCAAGTAGGTGTAGCTAGTAGTTAGTTTTATTTCATGTAATTTATTGATACCTCGGATGTAACATCTGATCACTGGTTAATAATCGCTGTGTGGAATTTGAAGTGATGTCACAGTTTGCTGAGAGCTGTTTAGCAGCAGCATCAGCCATTGATCTAACAATTATTCCAAAAAAAGACATTGTCGTATTGGCCAGTAGCAAGATTATTATGAATTTTAACAATTTCTACAAAATGTGGATGATGATATGCATTATTTTGAATGACCTGAAGACATAAGAGAGAGAGTCTGAAAAGATGATAAATTGTTTATATTTAGTCTGTGATTAATGTATTCTAGAGCGGTTAAAATAGCTTTGGATTCGGCTGTAAAAAGAAGAAGCATCTGGTAGTCTCTCTGATTTCTTTAGTTTTGTTAATTCAAGATCTACCTGTGGTTTTACCAGTTGCCACGTGGGAGACGACAGTATTTGGGTGGGAGATATGTCAGTGAGTTCATTTTTTGCAGCAGAAATTTCAGGTTTTATTCTTATGCCAAGGGGCGGAGTAAGGGTTTGTTTCTATAGAGATCCTGATAGAGAGGATTAAAAACACAGTGATATGCTGGATAAGACGGATTGGAAAAAAAAGTTTGGCAATGTATTGTAAGGGTAGTTTTAAGAGACGGCGTTTGAGTGATGGCTCATCAGCCTAAACATATAAACCATTGATTGGAGAAGTTCTGAAGGCACCAAGGCAAAGCCTCAGACCTTGAAGGTGGATAGTATCTAATCTTGTTAAATTACTTTTACAGGCCCCACCATGGATGATGGAGCCATAATCTAGTTTAGAGCGAGTGAGTGCTCTGTACAGTTGGAGGAGCGTTTTCTGATCCCTTCCCTACTTTAAATTCGAAACGACTTTCAACAAATCTAGGGCTTTCAGGCATCTATTTTTTAAATATTTAAAACTTTAGAGAGGCTATTTGTTTTGATGCTAAACAATGTGACAGACAAAATACTGGATTGTGGGACACCCTGATCCTGATTAAAATGATCAGACAGGGTAGAACCCACGCGGACTTGAAATTGAAGATGGTACTTGTTGTTTCCCTGCCTGGCGCTCGACATTAATGGAATCAAACACGGACTGGTTGGCTAGGAGTCAGTATACTGTGTCTGAGGGGGATATCTGTGTTACACTGTGCCATGGTATCTCTGTGTGCAAGCACTTTGAAGCAGGGTATTGGATCGATCTAGTGCAAGCAGGCGCGCGCGCACACACACACACACACACACACACACATACGCGCGCGCGTCACTATATAAGGCAAGTGCAATAATCTTGAACGCGACGCAAGGCCCATTTCACCACATACCCTGAAAGCATTCACGTCCACTCTACAATCCTACAATTTCCCAAGTTCTACTTTAGCAGAATCTCGTTATCCCCGGAACAACAGGCGTTGGCCCTGTCCTCGGGGGTAATAGCCAGCGATGTATTGTCTTCAGTCGCAGGTAAAACAATTGGCCAGAGTGAAGGTGATCCCCCATAAGGAAATAGCGCTTGTTTTATAACCGTTGCATGCTTCCCGTTGTTTTATTACCAATAGCGATATAACACACCTGGGCCTAATGAGCAGGCGTTGCTAGCCTGTAGCCAGTCTCTTGTACATGCAGTGTCACAATGTGACAATCTTCATTTCCGTGTATTCAACTGGGGACAGTACTGGTAAATCGACGAGAGTGTTTTTTATGGTTAATATCGTGTATTAGGAAAAAAATGTACATAGTGTTTAACGATTGTATAATAGTTTTCAAGCATTATGTCTGTTATGTCACTATCTATTTCTCCATCTTAGTATATTGAACTGTAGCAAGTCTCTTATATCAAATCTATATCTTCATCTTAGTAAATTGAACTGTAGCCAGTCTCTTGTATCACAATCTGTTTCTCCATCTTAGTATATTGAACTGTAGCCAGTCTTTTATGTCACAATCTGTTTCTCCATCTTAGTATATTGAACTGTAGCCAGCCTTTTATGTCACAATCTGTTTCTCCATCTTAGTGTATTGAACTGTAGCCAGTCTTTTATGTCACAATCTATTTCTCCATCTTAGTATATAGTACAGTAGCACGTTGCTTGGCGTGTCACAACATGTGACTATGCTTGTCGAAAGAAGCGACTAACGGGATCGGGTGGTTAGGCTCGGTGACTTGGTTGATGCATGTCATCGTATCCCAATTGCGGGGATCAATTGCTCTTGATACCAATCACTGTATTGTCTGGTCCAGGCTCTATTATTTACAGACCGCCGTCATATTTCTGGAATAATGTTGAGTTATCATTATGCGAGTGAGATTGACCAATCAGAGAGCAGAACTACTAACCCCATATGAGCCCGTATATACCGTCAGTAAAAATCCAAGATGGTTGTTACTGACCGAATGTGAGACCGCATACCGTCAGTAATAGCCATTTTGGGTTTTCCAACACCCACCTCACATATTTCACATGGAAATTATGGTACAGAAATTCGTTATTCGACCATGTTTTGTGTTTTAATATCATAAATTGTGATGAGCAAAGACATTATTTATTAAAGAAACCACGTTCGTGACTTTATTGATTAAAATTATAGAGAAATAAAGCTTACAACGGAGGTCACTGAGTTACAAATGCCAACGTCGTCGAACATAATATAGGATGACGTCACAAACAAGCAACGTGACGCAAATGACGTCACACAGCAATAGAATAGACAGCAGCCTGTCGTTAGGGGAAAGCGGACTGCTGTCAAGTTACAGTGGCCCGCAGATTTCTGTAAACATGCGGGCATATTTATGATAATTCATCCATTTTAGCTATGATACTTTAAACGTTCACATTTAGTGCATTATATATTCCATTGTTAACGTTTATGTTTACATTAAAGCGTTGTATCGGAAACATATGTACTGGTCCTGTCGTGTATACATTTGAAAGTGTCAAGTTTTCATTTTGACATGATTGGTTGGTTGGTTGGTTTGTTGTTTAACGCCGCACTCAGCAATATTCCAGCTATATGACGGCGGTCGCTAAATAATCGAGTCTGGACCAGACAATCTACTGATTTACATCATGGGCATCTATCCACGCAGTAGGAATCGATGACATACATCAACCAAGTCAGCGAGCCTGACCACCCGATCCCGTTAGTCGCCTTTTACGACAAGCACAATCGCTTTTTACGGCAAGCATGGGTTGCTGAAGAACTATTCTACCCCGGGTCTTCACGGGTCCTTTTTGACATGACATGTGCGACAATGATACCAAATAGTGTAAACTGTTCGGCATAATAAATTCGTTATGTCGTCTTGAGTTGCCTTATACGGTGTCATATTAGGCTGACGCCTCGCCCAATATTTATCTGCTAACCTAATATGACACCGTATACGGCAACTAAAGACACCATAACTAACAATGTTGTTGGAGGATGTATCACTAAGACATTATAAAATACATGGCCTTGACCTGATTTTGTGGAATATTTTTTCTGCTGACATTGATAAAAAGAACTCACGGGTATTTTCGTCCTCGCTCGGGGCAATGCGAGACTCGGAATGTGACGCAATTAAAACGTCACGAAACATGAAAAGTCATCAACCCTAGCGCAAGGACATCGTCCCCACAAGGAAAGTCAGCTGTGGTCAATGTGTAGCATGTCCCTTTAACACCTGCAGCTTGGCTATTCTGAAGTGTTAATTGTGCAATTATGTCAGTGTAACGTTTGTGTAGACTGCATGACACCAATTCCTCATTAGGTCGTACACCGCCAGGAAAAATCGTGTGACTGCAAAAATGCGAGTAGGCCCAACATTGTTACCAAGGACATTTGTGATGATATAATGGAGCAAGGTACACACCACAGGAAAAGAACATCCCAGATATGTGTTTTTGTTTGTGAAATGGTAAAACTCAAAATACAAAATACAAAACTGTGCAAAAAAACTGGTCCAGCTGTGTGGATTGGTAAAAAGTAAAAGCGCCACACCATAGATTTATAATTTTAATTTACATATGACATTCTGCCATGACACCGAAGAACACTTGATTCTGATTGGTCAGAATAAAATTATTTTAATATGATATCTATGTTCAGTCTAACCCTTATTTATGAAAACAGATCAATTGATAGTCTACGCACCGATGCATATACATTTAACTGTAGAGCTACAGATAAGCTGCGTATTTGCGTAAAAGTACCCCCAAAAATATTCAAAACCCAATTAATTTCAATTAACTTGCATACAAAAACGCATGCATTATATGAAAAACTCAAATTTGTAAAACCAGCATGCGTAAATACCCCAAGAAGCTTTTACAGCATGCGTACAATGGATCTAATTTCCGAAACACAATTACGAGCTGATTTACTTTCCGAGTCAAGCCTAAAGTTAGAACCCTTATATACATATAAAACATTATTTTATTTATTTTATTTTTTTTTAAATCTCAAAATGTTAACTCAATTTGGGAAAAAACCAATAGAGTGGTGAATAGTTGAGTGAAAATATATTGGTTACCAAATGAAAAATGTATACAACTCGAAAATCCCAAACTATCAAAAGGCACTGGTTCACCACAAGACCTATCTATGTACCAATATTGGTGAAGAAATGGTGTACGGTTTTCAAGATCTGCTCCGGAAAAGACATCTTGCACGGACGGACCCACGGACGGACGGTGTCCATTTTAATACCATTTGCAACATATGGGATACCAAACTCAACAGGTGTTATAGAAAAATCTTCTTAGTGTACACAGGTAGAACAATGGTGTATGCATGAGAGTGTTATCTGTTGGAGTAATATGTCAAGAAAGGGAGAGGGGCGAAATGGGTTTAATAAATTGAGTGTGTACCGATATTACAAGAACATATCTGGGACAGAAGACCATGTTTTCACACGATGCCCAGATCCTATAGATAGGCACAAGCCAAAGTGCGTGAGAGAGTGAGTTTGGTTTAACACCGCTTTTAACAGTATTCCAGTTATACTATATATATTATAATGTGGGAGGAAAGCACGAAGTGATGCAGGTCTCAGACGTTTACCACTTCGGTGAACCCCACGAGCACGGGTATGGTGCTGACAAACCTAGAAACATAATCGGGGCGAACCGGGATTCGAACACACAATCATAGGTTTCTGGAGTGCCCAAGTAACGCAACTCTGCACAGCGAATTGCTGCGCCTTAGACGACTGGGCCACCCGTGCCCCCATCTGTTGTTATAGACGCATTCCAGGATGACGTAACAATAGAAACATTCGTTGTGTTAGTGTAACGTTAAACAACAAACAAACAAACAAATGTCAGTGTAACAACATTCAATACTGATGTAAATACCCATTATATATTTGTGTGTAAACGTAGCGACATTCAGTGTGTATATCAAAGTTTATCATCCAAAACTGGCTCCCACAGGAAATATCGCTTGCATCTACACTGTAGATATCGCTGCAATGAAATTGCATCACACAGCTTTGCAGACCATTGTGACGTCACTGGTTACCACGACGCCACAATCAAATGACATCACTAATGCTACTGAAGCTGTGAGCAGAACTTTTTACACCGAAGACACTGCTAATTACTGTCTACAAACTGTAAAAGTTGGAAGAATGATGTTGGATGATAAATAAAATCTCACCCCCGTGTCTTTTGATATCAAATATATCAACAAGCCTCGGAATTTTTCCACTTTTATCAACTCGTGTTGATATATTTGATATCAAAAGACACTCGGGTGAGATTCTCTATGTATAAGGGTGAGGGAGGGGGTGAAAGGGTGGGGAAAAGATAAAGGGGTGGGTGAGACGGTGTAGGGGCGAGACAAAGATTAGAATAGGTTCGTTGATAATAACACGAACACACCTGTACAGTTCACGTGTACTTAGCTGATTCAGCCGTAACATGACCGGGAGCCGGGTCCGGAGTATCGCCTCGACCCTGGTATGTTGACATGAGGTGTTACGAAGATCCGGCAGTCGTACATTACCACACTGGGTGTTGAGTGGGTGTGTTATAACGCTGCCTACACTACCTGCGATATGTTGCTTACAGGTGTGAATCCTTCAGGTGGGTTCGTGCAACTCAAGGAGCGTGTTCTACAATGGAGGGAACTGGCTGATCGACGACATTGTTAGATAATCTGCCACTTGAAGCACAGGAAACCAATATTCAAGAACACGACAATAGCTGTTGGTTCCAGTGAGTGTTGACTCGATGTTATCTGACACATATTGGAGAGTGTTTATTGCCAGGTGGACGTGAATAAACAGATAAACGCGCCGGCTGGTGAAAATTAAAATTATTTTCACACAGGAAGGCTGGTATTGAGGATGTTTCCTCCTGTAGTCCATGATGGTCAGTGTTGTAGATGGTGTTTAACATCACGAAGGATGGGTCATATTCTTTCTGATGTCATTTGACGTTGTCGTCATCCTCGTGCTCTCGAACAGTGATGACGTCTTCGCAGCAGTCGTGGGTGGTGCATGTCAAGGATGTACGTCCACGTCGTCGGACCAAGGTTAACACACCTGTCATTAATACTTACTCGGCACAGGTGAGTCTTTCTTTATGGGGTGAGTGAGTTGTTCACGCCACTTTGAACAGTGTTAGTTATATCACGGCGTGTCAGCTTGGCGTGAGAAGGTGGGTATCAGTTTGGAGAAACCCAATGGCGCAGGTTGGTGCTGGCACCCTAATGATCACTATCAGTGCGAATATCGGATTCGCACCAACAATTATATGATCCTAGCATGTCTAAGGGACGCAACTCTGCATATCGAAATGCAGCGCCTGAGACGACAAGGCCACTAGTTCCTTCTCTACAAAGACAACACACGTAGAGACATTATTTCTGTTCAGTGTTCGAACTTAGATCATAGGATCCTGGCACACCTAAGGGACGCAAGTCTACACAGTAAATTGCCACGCTTTAGACGACCGGACCACTTGTTCTATCTCTGTAAATTCTATAGGTACCAACATGATATGTTCAGAGTTCGAAATTACCGAGCGTGGGTAAATGAATATAACCGAGATCATATATTATTATTCTAAACATTTTGCGACCGCCTCCATGGTCTAGAGGTAGAGCGTCTGTCCGGTGAGCGGAAGGTTCCGAAAAGACGTAAACAGTAATGGAACTTGTTATTACCCTGCCTGGCGCTCGGCATTAGGGGCTAAAACAAGGACTGGTCGGCTCGGAGTCAGTATACTGTATCTGAGTGGGGCGTTCATGTTAAACTGCGGCATGGTATCTCAGTGAGCTAGCACTATAAAATCGGCATAATTCCAGAATAGTACAAGCACACACACACACACACACACACACACACACACACACACACACACACACACACACACACACACGTGTATGCACATCGCAAGTGAAAATTAAACCCCATTTCATCTCACCACCAACACAACAAATTGAAACTTGACAAAACACACATTTTTGAATGTGGTATAAAAAATAAGTTAACATTCAATCCTATCTCAACATGTGAATTTATATAGAGTGTGCCTGCAGTTTGAGTTGGGTATCAAAAATACTTTTTTTCACCAGATACCTTACCATACACGGCCCACATTAGGCAAAAGTGTCCACTTTGTCCCAGGGAGTATATACTATAGCACACAAGACTTGACAGGGGTAAATATTACTCTTGGCTGATAAACAACTCTCTCATCAATAACATTTGCGTCAACAGGTAACCTCGAGATACCTTACCAAACCTGAGCTGATGTTTGTTTCTCAAACAATGTGAATGCTTTTTATAACACTTCCAAATTCCAGGGGCGGTCGGGTAGCCTAGCGGTTAAAGCGTTCGCTCGTCACGCCGAAGACCCGGGTTCGATTCCCGACATGGGTACAATGTGTGAAGCCCATTTCTGGTGTCCCCCGCCGTGATATTGCTGGAATATTGCTAAAAGCGGCGTAAAATCAAACTCACTCCAAATTCCACTGAGATAATCGTAAATGAAACAGTTTCCTGTGATAAATTGTCTGTTACATTATCTGATGGTGTGGTTTGCTTGCTGGTTTGGTTTGCTTGCTGGTTGTTTAACGCCGCACTCAGCAACATTCCAGTTACATGACGGCGGTTTGTATATAATCGAGTCTAGACCAGACAATCCAGTAATTGACATTATGGGCATCAATCCACGCAACTTGGATACGATGATATACATCATCCAAGTCAGCGAGCCTGACCACCCGATTCCTTTGGTCGCCTCTTACGACAAGCATAGTCGCCGCTTACGACAAGCATAGTCGCCTCTTACGACAAGCAAAGTCGCCTCTTACGACAAGCATAGTTGCCTCTTACGACAAGCATGGGTTGTTGAGGACACATTATAATAGCAAAATAAGAGCAACTATATATTGTAATATCTCAGATGGCTTGGTGTGCAGATATAGTGATATTTCGAAATACTACTTTGAGAGGTCCAGCTTTTACAACAAGCACAAACATGACTTGATAATGAGATTTCAGATGTTGGTAATTGTTAGTTTCAGCAGTCCCAATAACCTGGCTTTAACTCGACGACGGCGTTATTACGCTACTAGTCGATAGGACTCTCTTGTTGGGCTCCAGCATTTGGGACATACCCGGATATAGCCACTCACATTGTGCGATAGGAGAGATATCTCACTCCTTGTCACAGCAAAATGATTGTGTTATCTGTGACTATTCTGTGTCAGTAAAATGCGACGTCAGAACACCGAAAGCATCAGCTCATAGCGTTCATTTCGTTTTATATTAATATCGTGTTTCGTATTCTGCTATTTAGAATTCCAAGTTTTTGTATCAACCAACATGGCGAATTAAACGTACGTGTTTTTGCAATCGCTACTGGTTGTTATCCTCGTTCATTATATCGTGATAGAAATTTGACAACACATGTCTTGAGCTCAACACCGTCGTCATCCTCTCTTCACGATGAGTTGACTCGGTCGTTATGCAGACTGTGGGTGTACCATAATCCCGTGATCGCGGGTTCCAGTTCCGATTATTGGTAATTAGCACCATACCCGTGCTCGTACCTTTCACCAATGTGGTGACCCGTGAAGATCCGCGGTAGAATAGGTCTTCAGCAACCCATGCTTGTTGTAAAAGGCGACTATGCTTGTCGTAAGAGGCGACTAACGGGGTCGGGTGGACAGGCTCGCTGACTAGGTTGATGCATGTCAGAATCAGAATCAGAATCAGTTTATTCTCAGAAACCACAAAAGGTGGTACAAGAGCATATTACAATAAATAATTATGCATATGTACAAAAAGCAGACTATCCCAATTGAGTGGATCAATGCTCATGATACCAATCACTGGATTGTCTGGTCTAGATTCGATTTTTTACAGACTGCCGTCATATAGCTGGAATATTCTTTACTATGACGTTAAAGAACAAACAAACAAACACCAATGTATATAACCTGTATAACTTTTTTTTCCTCCCACATTAAGTTGACACGCCATGATATAACTGCATTAAGATTATATTACTCAACTTCTGATAGGGATAATTAGTTATGTCAGATATATGTTAACTTACACTTGACATATTATTAGAATCAGTTTTGTGTCTCATGGAAAGATAAAGAATATCCCTGTCAAAAGTGGAGCAGTATATTAAAATTGCTACCAACTCACTGCCTAAGAACTCATTTTCAAAGGCTTGATTAAATATGATGGAATTTAACATGATGTAACCCTTGTGGTCAGAAAACATCCTGAATAGTTCATTGCTGGTTGTATGAGGGGAGTAAATTGGATCGAGCGGTCAGATTGTCCGACAGTCTATCCCTACGTCCTTGGATGATAGTACTGTAAGCACCAGTGACGTATTATAAACTGCCGGGCAAAAGAAAGTGTACACTTAAAAACTGGATTTGACCATAAGATATGACACGTTATCAAAACGCTACAAGGCTGAAAACACTGCAAACGTCAAAACACAATTACGATACACCATCGAATAACCCCTTTTTTCTTGTTTGTGTCATTTTTCGAACGTGGTGAACACTCTTTTTTGCACGGCAGTTTAGTATTTTCTAAATTCAAATTGGAAACAGTCTCAAGTCAAGTTCATAAGTGCAATGCAAAGTTAACACGTCTACTTTTTCTTGTATTGCCTTTTAAAACGTATAACGTCGTCACCATGAATGCAATTATACCAGCCGAGACACTCGAGTTGAAACGCTAGGAACCATGTATACTTTTAATGTTCCTCCTTGAACACGTCCTTTTGGGTTTATTTGTAATAAATCTTTTACTTAAATATATATGGTTGATAGGGACAGTCGGAATCTCGCCAATCCATTCATGCGCGTCATTAATTAGACGGCATGACCTTAAGGGGGGGGGGGGGGGGGGAGGGGGGGGGGGAGACCACCCTGCTTCACCCCACTGCTGGGAATCCCTTACTACTGTGTGCAAGGGATGAAAAGATACGCCCATTTCAATCAGCATGGGTTGGCTGATGGGTGTCGCCTTTAAGGCTGTTTGTATGTTTGTTATTTAAATATTCCGGCGGTCTGTAAATATTCGAGTCTGGACCAGACGATCTGCTTATTGACATCATGAGCATCGATCTGCGCAATTTGGATACGATGACATCTATCAATGAAGTCCGCGAACCTGACCGACCGATACCGCTAGTTGCCTTTTACGACAAGCCTAGGTTGCTGAAGACCATTCTAACCCGATCTTCGCGGGTAGTCGCCTTTAAGAGACGTGAAAGAACTATGCCTGGTAAATGGGGGTAACACATGGAGCACATATAGCAGTTGTTGCAGTGGTTGAACATCGATGACAAAATCAAACGTTTGGAGTTCATCAGTCCATATTCTGCAGCCACTGTGGTCTTCAGATGGACATTTCAGTCGCATCTTTAAAGGAATATTTCATGAGAAAATTGAATATAATATTCATACCAAGCAAAGATATGACCAGCCACTTAATTATGATTTATGCAGAATAGGCATGTTAAAGAGTTGACTGTCACAGTGGTGATCCATGTGAAAACCAGTTTAATGTAAATAGTATACTCGTAAACGACGGGTTCAAAGTTTGTGTAGTATGGCTGTAAACAAATTTCAGTTAGAGATCAAATTAGTTTTGTATGGTAATACAGATATCTTAATGACTGAAAATCATTACATTAAATTATGTACAATTGTTTATCTTATAAAACCATTCAATACTTTGTTATACCTTCTTTACATTCTAATCATAAATATTCTATTCTATTTCTCTCTCCTTTCTTTCTGCCTATTGTAGATATTGTAAATATTAGGGAGGGTGCTCTAGCTGGATAGCCTGTACCCAATACGTTTCATTGTTGTGAATAAAATATGTTTAAAACAAACAACAAAACGAATTTACAACAAGGCTGCAGAACCCATCTGTATGGCCATGTAATATGCGCCATGCTATCACATCCTACATTAGCAGCTCAGGGAATACTCTCTATTGGAGGAGTCGATAACATACTAAATTATTATAAACAATGTTATGAGTCATATTCAACTAGTAATATACAAAATTATTATAA